CCTCGTCCCCAGCCTCGTCCCCAGCCTCGTCCCCAGCCTCGTCCCCAAGCCATGCCCCTCGCCAAATCACATGCCATGTTCCGCAGTCAAGTCCCACAGCCAAGTCACATGCCATGATCCTCGTGTTTGTTCCCTCTGTTCCTGATCCCCCTCCCCACCCTCCCGTGGTCCTCGTGTGTGTTAGGGCCGTCTGGGAGCCGTCCCTTAAGGGGGGGGCTCTGTCACGTCTGGTGTCTCGTCATGTCTTGATTACCTATTGTGTACACCTGGGGTTCCCTTCCCTCATGTGCTTAAATAGTCCTCGTTTCCCCTTGTCTTGTGCGAGTGCGTTCTAGTCCGTCCTGTCCTTCGTCACCCCCACGCCAGGTTTGTTTTTGTCACAGTTTTTGCCACAGTCTTGTCACAGTTTTGGTTAATCTTTATTTTGTTACTTTTTCAGAGTTTTGCTTCAGTCTTGTTTGCTAATTGCTTTGATACTTTGACCACAGTTTTCCACAGCTTTGATTTGTACTTTGTCTGGACATTCACTCTGTTTTTTTGTACAATAAACCTTGTTTCCCTCATCTCCGCACCTGAGTCCTCCCTCCAAGACCACCCACATGACAAGAACAATGTGGACGACGTCAAGCAGAGGACATACGGAGTGGGTGGAGAGTGTGTATATATGGGAGACCTGAGAGTGTTCATGGACCATGACCAGCTACACAGAGGAAATAAGCAGAAAGTTTGAGACCATGGACATGGAGATTCTGGCACAAACAGAAGATGTCAATATCCTGAAAAAATGCACAGGGTTCCACTGAATTATTAAGAAATCACTGGAACAACAGTGAAAGCTATAAGTTTGGTTTAGAGGGGAGAACGAGATGGAACATCGTTTGCATCCAGTGACTAAATGACGGAATAGATATCAGTAACGTAGTCATGGAGGTGGAGAACGAAGTGGTACATAGGAATGCAGCTGATACTGAACAAGCCAGTCAGAGAGAGAAATATGAAACAGAAAGCTAGGGTTAATTGGCCATTCTTTGCTACAAATAGCAGCAAATAGCAGCAAAGAATGGGAGGCAGTCAATAGAGATTTGTCAATAATACTAGGTAGGTTATGAGGAATTGCAACCGATAGGCTAGAGAAGATTTTAGATTTAATTTACTAATAGAAGGTTACATAAAGTTTTGAAGAGTATAGTTGGTAAAGTCTAAGCGGCAAAGAGACAGCGAAATTGATAAGGAAACAAGAAAGTTAATGTGTAGGAAAAAATTACAGAGGAAGAGAGGGAGGAAATGAATGTTTTACAGTAATACAACCTATCAGTGCTTAGAAGAGAAGACTATTTTAGGAATATGAAGAAGAAGAATGTAACATGAAGACTGTGTAAGGACAGCTTTTACAGGAACCCATTTAAGTTTGTTAAAGGGTTATTTATCCAGGAAAGGGGAGGGACGTTTAAAGAAACAAAGTCAGAGGTGGAAGAAAAGGTAAGAAAGACAGATCTTGAGCAATGTAGAGTAGTAGGCCTTCCACCTGGCATGCCACCATTAGGAAAGATAGCTCACGAGATGCATGTTAGTCCACCTAAGTAGAAAGAAGCTGAGAAAGTAGTCAGGCATCATAAGGCTTCGTCAGCTCCAGGGCCAAATGAGTTCTGTACCGGGTTTATAAAAGTGCATCTGTTGAACCGAAGTTCTTGTGGAGGAAGCCAAGAATAGTTTGTGAGAAACAGATCACTCCTAGGGCATGGTGTAGGGCAGGAAGCATCCCTATTCTACAAGAGAAAGAATCCTTGGACCTGAGTCTGTTCCAAATGAGCTCTCTCCTACACTAAACAAAAACTTGCCCTCTACATTTAGGGAAGTGTAGTGAGGAAAATATTCTTTAGTGTAGTTGCACTTATACTAGCTAGTTATTTAGAAAGGAACAGCTTAATAGATACTACTGTGCAGAAGGCTGGAATGCAGGGTTTCACAGTAGCATTATTTGGCATCACAATCAGACAGCCAAGATTTTAAAAAAGGGGCTTGCATTTAACATTTCTGGATTTAGCAAATGCTTTTGGTTCAGTGCCAGATGGCCTTATTTGGAAAATGTTTGAATATTACAGTGCCGATGATAGTTGTGAACTTAGTTAGAGCATATTTTCAGGACATTAGTCTGTGGCTAAGTACAGCAGGTTTCATAACAGGTTGGCAGAGGCTAGAAATAGGTATCATGGCAGGGTGTACGATTTCTCCATTAGCATTTACAATGGAATTGGTAACAAATACTGTACTAGTGTGAAAATCAAGCCAAGTAAGTCCAGAAGCATCTCAATCATCAGAGGGAAATTATGTGATAGAAAGTTTTAAATACATGAAGAAAGAATTAAATTAATTATATGAAGGGCAGTGACCAGTTTAGGTAGGTGGTATCAAGCAGAATTGAATGATGAATGATCGAGAGCAAGTAGTGCAGTTTCAAAGAAGATGTTGCTGAGGGTCTGGATAGAATAGATAAATCAGGGCTTCCAGGATATCTGAAGCGGTGGTCACTGCAGTCTGGATTATTTCCAAGGTTGATCTATCGACTGTCTGTGTATGATAATCTATTATCTGATACAGAGAAAATGGAAAGATTAGTTACGTCTTATACAAGGAAGTAGCCAAGTGTTCCCAGATGTTTAAGTCCTGTGGCACTTCATGGGAAAGACACACTCCAGCTCACACTATCTTGTCTGGGACAGACAGAACTCCTATAAGATGGAAGTAAAGATGTTGTAGGGGAGGAAATGGCATTGAAGAATGGCAGTTCAGGATGCAGAACATTATGCATACAGAGATTATCATTAATGTTCAAAATAGGTCAGGGAGGCTTGGCCCAGCCAAACTGGTGTGCAGTAGAGCAGAGAAGAGAAAGCTTGTTTGTGGAACAGTTTTATATGCAGGCAGAATTGTTAAGGGTTTAAAGTCAGTGGCTCATGCAAAGCAGGGGCAGTGGTTGAATGTTGAAGATGTTCAGAAGAAAGAGCTTCGTTGGAAATAAATGTACAGTGTGGAGGGAAGTAGGATAAGATTTTTAAAAGGCAACATATGACATATTCCCCACTCCCCAGAGCCTAAATCTCTAGGTAAATGGAGATCTGCAATGTTCTTTACGTTCTGGTACAGCAACTCTGAGACATATTTTGTAAGACTGTAAGGCTAGTCTATCACATCGCAGATATACAAGGAGACATAACCAAGTAGCAAGAAGCTTAGCTGCAGGTTTTAAAGACAGACGAAGGCCAGTTAATTTAGAAGCATCTAAGGCAAAGAGTATGGCAATTCAGTTGGTTCCAGAAGGATGACAAAGTTAAAAGGCAATAAGGAGGTAGGGTAGCCGAGAGGATGCTTGTGATTGAGAGATGCTGATAGAGTTAGGAGGAAAGCTTGTTGTTCCCCAGAAAATAGCCTCTTTAAGTGTAAGTGCAGACTGTCCCCTGGGAGGACTCATTCCACTCTTCTGCTAACATCAGCGATAGCAGCTCGATAGCACACGAGCGTGATGCATTATACATTTTTTGCGACACGATAGAAGGCATAACCATTCAGTGTAAAGTAACTATAAATTTGTTGTTAATATGAAAATTAATACATTACAAACTTCAAAGAAGTTTGTCTGCGTACAATCCCCAAAATTAGCTAATTTATTTATTTTGTATGAAACAGATACAATGAAAGTTGGAACAGTCCCTTTATGACGGCTGTTTTTTCAGTCCATTGTTGAGAGTGATATAGTTGATGAAGTTAGGTTGTTTATAAGATAAATTGGGTCCATGTATGACATAATAGCATACATGGACAAGACATGAGTTTTTTCTAAACCTATAGATTTACTGGCAGAATATGGAAAACACTGTACAAAGCTCAACTGAAGAGAAGGGGAAATTTAACAGTGTATATTGTAGCAAAATGGGAAACAGAACTTGAATTGAGATATCAGAGGAAGAAAGGTAGAACGTTTGCAGGGTGCAACATTCAACCAATGGGACTAGAGTGTGGCTGAAGTTCAACTGTAAGAATATCGATTGATCCCAAAGACAATGAAAGGTATGCAAAAGAACAGAAGATGTGTTGATTATGTTGGCAGAAGAAGGCATACCATACACATACATATTCTGGAAATGTAAAAAGCTGAAAGAATTTTGGGAAGGAGTATGGAAAATATTAAAGGAGGTATTAAGTTATGAAGTACATTATACTAGCTTGGTATTATATCTGGGGAGCTTGACATTGGAAAACATTGATATCTAATCACTGATATCAAAACTGATATCTAATAACAATTTAAGGATTAACATTTATTTGTGGGTTATTTAGCTTTTTTTCATTTCAATTTTGTTCATGTACTTATATATTTCACAACTACTTTGAAATGTATACATTAGCTTGTAAATAGTATTTTTCTCAATAAAATGTAAGCATAAAAAAGCACTGGTGATATGGAGTTTTTTGGATCTGCTGGAAAAAACAGCAGATCCAACACATCAACAGCAACACATCTATATAATATATTTGCACTAATTAACCTGATCTAGGCTTTCTTAAGTTATTTGCATGTTTCTATTAGGCTTCTGACATTTGAAACACTACTTTGTAGGCATGGCAAGATTCACCGATGCCTATCGGAACATCGGAACGACCTGTGCGATACGGTTGCATCGATTTGCAAACGTCTGCATCGGTAAAAACCGCACATAAACTCGAGATGCATCGTATCAAAACTACCTGCATCGATACAAGCCGATTATTATCTTCTATTATTATAACTTTTTAGAAACGTGTCTTTGAGTTTTAGTTGCGTTTATTTCCATCCCTGTTGCCTGCCTACTGCGTGCATGCTAGTCTCTCTGCCACTCAAGTCTCGCCCAAAGCCTCGCGCGAGTAGGAGGGTCTAAACTTGCTTTCGAAGAGGACAGAGGCGGCAAGCTAGAAACCACGTTAGCATGGAGGAAAACGAAACAGAGATGAATGACATTTCAGTTAGATTATTAACCTTAGTTTGCTCTTCAGATATTGTATGCACATTTTGGACATACCATATTTACCTATGCTCATTTTGGAAATTACTTGTGTGCCTATTAGAATATTGTTCAAAATGTTGCTTTTCAAATGGGGTGTACTTGTCAATGGTGTGCATTGTATATTTGGGGGAAAATGCGATGTGTCCCTGTGTTAAGTTTTTCTTTTAGTTTTTATAATAGATGGAATATCCTGGCCTGCACCTTTTGTATAAGGGCATTTTATTTGTTTTACCTCATGTATAAACTTCAAGCACTTTTTTAAAGGCTCAACTGGAAAATGTGCCTTTGTGCCTTTGCTTTAATTGTTGGACAACATGCACTACAGAGAAATCTTATTTTTGTTTGAAGTTTACACTTGTAAAGTTTCAGAGAGACAATCACTCTCTAAGTTGCACTTCCTTTGTTTCAAAATAAAAGGCACAGTTTGCTTGCGTGCCATAACTTGAACTATGTAGTCCATGGTGTACTTTTCTTCTGCATCGCATCGTATTGTATCGTATCGCACTGTATCGCAGCATTTTAAATTTAGATCGTTCTGTATCGCACCGGATCGCAGGAGGTTGGAGAATCGTATCGAATCTTATCACTAGAAATTCCATGAATCGTGAATGTATCGAATCGTTGGCTGTGTATCGAGATGTGTATCGTATCGCCTTGGTGGTGAAGATTCCCATCCCTACTACTTTGGCATAAGAAATTTGGATAAATTCTTACCTGTCCCTCACACATATCAAGTAGGGCAGACCGGTCACGGGTTGCACGTGCTAATTTGCTCTGGAACAATTTGCCATCAAAAAAGCCCCAGGGACAGCAGTGTTCCCATGGCAATGGCTGGCCGCAGACATCATTAATTAATAAGGCTGTGTCAACGCCGGCCATAAAGAGAGCAGCCAGCTGTACACCTCGGGCCTCCATCTTCTCAACCTAAAAGCCATGACACAAATGAAAAAATATAGCATTTAGAGGAAAAAATCAATTACATTTTAGGACAAGAACTATAAAATAATGCCCCCACATGTTTTTCAGAGTTTTCCTCAGCTGCTTATGATAGTCATATGTCAAAGCAGGTGGTCATTTCATCCCATGGATATAAAATTGGTATTTCTTCAAGGAATAGAACTATCATATGCCTTTTACATCAGGGAGCAGTGGCAGAAGTGGAGGATTACTTCGGGCAGTATCAGCATACTAGCTTGTAACGTGGATGTGTTTTGGGTACACAAAATTGATGGATGCATGAAACACAGCGCGTGTTACTTATAAACACAGTTTCTGATTGCTGACAGAAAAGTAGAAGCACACCAGTAAAATAATATCCACCATACGGACTGATCCTGTGCAACAAAGTAATTCTATTTCCTCGGAAGAAAAGGATAACTTTAGGCTGGTCAGCTTTTCTGGATTCCAAGATAGAACGGCACAGATGTGCTGTTAGATATAAATTCTTGCATCAAGCATGAAAAATGGAACAATGTGCGCACAGAAAATTGTGTGCAAACTGAAGTTCAGGAAAACTAAATAACTGTAAAATTCACACATATAGTATTTAATACATTAATTTTACCACCACCCAATGTAAGGTTTATGCAACAACAACCCTAAGTTATGAGCATTGATAGTTAATAAATTGTTAGTTAACGAAAGTTTAATCAAAGCAAGTCTGTAATAAGAGAAACTGTCAAAAAGTAAATCAAAAAGGGAGTTAGAATATAAGTATTTATAAAGACAAAAGAAGGCCATACAAAAGAATTGGAGGACAATTCAGTTTACAAACACTTTTTTGTGTTTAGTGTTATACATATCAAAATATGTATAACACAAAAGTGTTTTCTAAAAGGGGGGTTTAATACATTTTGTAACCACTGTATCTACAGGGGATGATTTAGCTTCTTTTTCCCCTGGATGGAGTTGGATAATCTGTCTCTTTCACAACATCAAACAGTTAAATAACACTCACTAAATCAAGCTTCTGAATGCCTGTTTTCTTTAATCCAGAAAATTGAAATAGTTTTAAACAAATTGCCTTTAACTCAAACAACATTGACAAATAAACTAGACAAATAACAACCATTAAAGATAATCCCAAATCAAATAATCCCATCTCACCTTGAGCTCCTGGAGCTGTTCGGGCTCATAGAGCTGACTCGAAACAGCTTGGGATAGGAAAGCATCAAGCTCATGTCTTTGGAGAATCCGTCCACTAGGCCACTGCATCATATACCTAGGAAGAAGTTTAAAAATGTAGCCTTTACAGGACAGGAGCAAGTAGTAATATGCAAACTGAAACCACTGACACAATTTGAAAAAAAAACAAGTTTTGACTTAATAATTACAGACAAATGTTTTCGGGTAGTACAATCTCTTAGAGAATCAAAAGAGCTCACAATGTAGGTGTAATGTATTTGTTCATGTACACACTTAAGTTTTTTCCTATCAATCAATCTTTGGCTCACTTTGGTTTGGTTGCGGATATGTTCTGTGTGAATGTGTCTGCAATACAAATATTTAGTGGTGCATTTTGTTCATAGGACCATGTTCAAAGCAAGCAATTGAAACAGTGTTAAAATTTTTCCCACAAAACCTGTAATCAGTTAAAAGATTTACTTCCAATGCTTTGGTGCTGCTCACTATCACTATGCCACACTCTTTATTTATTAAGGGTGCAAAAAATACCAAATGCAGAAAATCCTCCGGTGAATAAATGAAATGATCATTTCTTCACCCCTCTTTCTAAGAACCAGGTGTTCAAACTCCTAATCTTCTAAACCCAGTTCCAACAATCTACCCAGAACTGTTGCTCCAACGGTCACATATGTGCTTATTGCCTCATTGGTCTCAAGAAAATGTCCATCCTTCAAACAAGCACAAGGACTATAACTGCTAAAAATACTCGTACAGGTATTCACATGGAAAATTAGCGTCTTGCCAGTGAGAAGGTCATAGAAGTCCTCATCAAACAGCATTCTAAATCCAAATCATTCTGTTTCTAAAAGTGGTCACACCACTGAAATGCCTCAAGTGTCTTAATGAAAGCCATAAAAGAAGCCAGAGGTGCAGGTCAATTCTCTGTCCTCATCCTTACTGATCAGTTTTCCATACAGTGAATCCCCTTATCCTTTAACTATATTGTCAAACACATATATCAGGGTCAAAGCACTCTTTATATTTGATTCCTACATCACTGGGTGATAATTCACTTTATCTGCCACTTCCTCATGTGGCAGATACAAAGGTTGTCAAAAGTATCGATACTAAAACGTCATTTTCAAAAGTATCGATACCACCCGACACTGCGCCCTTTCTCTCTGATTTATTTAAGTTGTTTATGATCATTAACATGACGTTAGCCTTGAATTGCTAGCTAATGGCTTTTGGGGGTCTTTTGTTTTATCTTTGTGGTATCGAAAATGGTATAGAATATTGAATATTTTCCTGAGTATCGGTATCGAGTTGAAAATTTTAGTATCATGACAACCCTAGCAGATACAATCTTGGTGTAAATTAAGAAGACCACACCACTTTTATGAAGCTATTGAAAATTTTGCCTTTCAATTCCTGCCTTGTGTTGTGTTGATAGAAGCTTCTGCTAAATGCAGAAATTGATTATTTACTTGAAGAGTTGATAACAATTTCTATTAGAATATGTTTTCTAATAGAAATTGTTATCAACTCTGTAGTAGCAGTAGACATATATATATATATTATAGGACTTGAGTGAGCTTGAAACATTTTTTAGTTATTAGTCAATGGATCTACCTTCCTGAGAAGCCTCTGAAAAAGGATGAGAAGGAGCTGTAGCACCTTGTGCAGCAACAATAAATAAGTGCAATAATAACATGCAATGTCTCTCCTGCTGGACTTTTTCATATCTTTATGGTCCATATCTATATATTTTTAAATTTTTGCATTTCTTTAAATTCTCTGTTTGTGCTGTAATAATGCTGCTGCTAGAATCTTAATTTCCCGAAGGCAACTTTCCCAAGGATCAATAGATTCTAAAATCTAATATAAGATTCACCTTTATTTATTCAGTTCATTTTACTCTCCTCTCCACTGTGAAAACAATGTTTTTGTATGTACCATATTTTCCGCACTATAAGGGCACACCTAAAAACCTTACATTTTCTCAAAAAACGACAGTGCGCCTTATAATCCGGTGCACCTTATACACGGATCAATATTGAACCGCAACAGGTTTATTACGACAACAGGTAGTTCAAATAATTCTATTTGGTTTGGTTTGGGCGGCACAGTGGTGTGGTGGTTAGCACTGTCGCCTCCCAGCAAGAGGGTTCTGGGTTCGAATCCCGGGGGAACCAGGACCCTTCTGGATGGAGTTTGCATGTTCTCCCTGTGTCTGCGTGGGTTCGGTGTACCCTGGCTCTCGCCCGTTGACCACTGGGATAGGCTCCAGTTCCCCCCGCGACCCCAACAGGGAATAAGCGGTATTGATAATGGATGGATGGATGGTTTGGTTTGGTTTTTCTTTACAAGAAAAGCTTTTCAGCTTTATGCTAGCCACTATATATTGTGATTGCGCTAACGTTTGATTTACTCTTACGGTATCAGACTTTTTATTTTACGTGTTTATTGAATCGAGGGAAAGTTCCCCTCCACTACTTGATACCAATGTTGCACTACCTATTATATATAGTTGTTGTTAAAAGATAAACTGTGGCGCAAAAACGCTGCATCACTGACATAGCTCAGGAAAAAATTTAATCAAGTTTGACTGACTTATCTGACTGTTTATTTGACATTCTGTTTAGCGCAGCTGCATCTAGCGGATGCATAACGCAACCCCAGCCACTACTGGAGGTCCTAGTCTATGTGGCTTATAATGCCTTATATATGGTAACATTTTTAAAATAGGTAATTCATTGAAGGTGCGCCTTATAATCCAGTGCACCTTAGTGTGGAAAATACAGTATTTTCTCAGCAGGTACGTTACCTGTAAAGTATTGCGGTGCAGTGTATTTACCATTTAAATTTAGCAAAATACAATTTTCTTAACAATGATGGATGATACCTGAGCACACAGCACATAAGCAGTAAATGCTGTGGGACTTGTGTGGGGTTAAGGAGGGCAGGGCAATCGGAGCGTAGGCATGCCAGGAAGGCTCTGGTTCTTCTGGAGCGGTCTTCACTGGCACGACCCAACCACAGGCGCCGCAGGTTAGGACAGGTCCACTCTCTGAAACACAGTGCCGGAACCAGCTCTGGTGTCAGTGCTGACTTGGCCTTTCCGCTGCTCCACTCTTTGACAATCACTGGAGGAACTTCACAAAAAAATGCAAAAAAAACAAAGCAAATTTGGTATAAACATCTATATTTTAGTTTATAATATTTCTCATATATATATATATGTAAACAGTAGAACCTCTACATACGAATCTAATTTGTGCTGTATGTTGGTTCAAAAATTCCCATAAGAATACACTGTAATTCGTATAATTCGTTCCACAGCCTAAAAATCTGCGATAACTCCTTAATAAATACTGCAGATAATTACACGTAGCAATAAAACAAATTGCAATATATATGAGAGATGTAAAAAGAAATAAATGATCAATAAATACTCAATAAAAGTTTTTTTTTTATCAGCTCTTCACAGAAAGCCCAGAAATGTTGGGCCACAAGATTAATAGTACAAAAACCAATCAGAGGAAATAATCATTATGGAGAGAAGGGTGCGACATTTCCATCTTAGCATCAAATGCAAAACATGCCACAGTTAAAAAATGACCCTGCGGAAACAAACTGAAATGATCAGAAACCTAAATCCCAGGAAGTTACCCTAAGATTATATGACTTGGGAGAATTTTGACAAGTGGTGTTCAGTTATTTCTCTATGGGAACCGTCTCAGATGGAGGGACAGCAGGTCTATTCAGAGTACTTGGTTGGTGATGGCACACACAACATCCTGCTCATTACCTATGTAACTGACAACTTGTCACGTCTGGTGTCTCGTCATGTCTTGATTACCTATTGTGTACACCTGGGGTTCCCCTCCCTCTTGTGTTTAAATAGTCCTCCTTTCCCCTTGTCTTGTGCGAGTGTGTTCTTGTCCGTCTGTCCTTCGTCACCCCCACGCCAGGTTTGTTTTTGTCATAGCCACAGTTTTGTTAATCGTTATTTTGTTACTTTGTCACAGCCGTAGATTTTGCCTCAGTCTTCTTTACTTTGCCTTTGCTCATAGTTTGCCACAGCTGTGTTTGTGTATTTGGTCTGGACTTCCTTTTTTGCAATAAACCTTGTCTTCCCTCATCTCCGCACCTGAGTCCTCCCTTCAAGACCCCCCACATGACACAACTATTCCCTCCTCTGTGCTGTTTGGTGTATAAAATCTGTAGCTGAAAAGAGGCTTTCACTTTAGACCAGCAGCATCAAAGAACTTATAGACTCGGGGAGAGTTCATTAAATCATATGGACATCTACGAAAGAGCAACTTGCTTACAGCTTACCAAAAGTGGGGGCATCTGCAGAGAATGGCAAAAAAAAAACAAAAAAAACACTGGTGTTCATTAAGTTAAATTAAAATAAAAGGGTAAAGTTACAATGTTGCTGCAGTTTGTTATTCTAATGTTGTATTTTATCTTTAAAGAAAGAGGGAAGATTGATAAGTTGTATGTAGCCTACTACGCATGGGAGGCGTGAAGAGAGTAAGAGTTTGACTGGGTGGGTGGCGGTGCGTAGGCGTGCAGGCTGTTTGTTATGTTAATGGATACCATTGAAGTGTGGATGCCAACATCATTGGTGCAACTATTGAAATAACAGAGAGCAAGCATGGCATACATGGAACACCATAACCGAGTTGCCAGAATAGTGTACCGGCACATCTGCGCTGACTATTAGTTACCTGTAGTCTGAAAGTCAAAATGTATGAGGTGGAGAATGACAAATCAGGATTATGTGGGACACTAAATTTAGACGGCTAAACAAGTGATATCCATTTAACTGGATGCTTTGGGGGTTGACAAGCCACAAAATTAATAAGTGCCGATAGCTGTAGCAGAATCAAGGAGAAAGAACACCAAAAGTTGGCGAAATATAATGACCTGACGGTGGAAATGGTACCAGTTGTAATCGGAGCGCACAGGGCCACACCCCACTACTGGGAAAGTGGCTCAAGGATACGAAGGCCCATTTTTAATCCAATTAGTTTGACAGTTGACACATGACCTTAATATGAGTTCTAGTTAGGGTGAGGCTACCTGTGTTGTATCAGGTAAACATGAAAACGAAAGTTTTAGAGTTCTCACAATTTCAGCCTAGGGTTAACGAAAAAAATATTTTTTGGCAGCTTGTGTGATCCTGTGCGGGAAAGCTGAATTGGATGCCTTTGTTTTTGTTACATGCCAAATTAAATTTGAGTTGTCATAGCCAATGAAAGGACTGCAGGAGTGTGAGACAGTGAAGGCAGTATGTATTTCTAGGTCTCTCATTTGTGAGACTTCTGTAGGAGTTAAGATGTCTAAAATTCAGGTTTGGCCTTCTCTGTGAGTTGAGTTGTAACACCGTCCAAAACAACTGATATTACATTAACTGGATATTCTAAATTTAGTATTTCAGTAGTTGTCTGTCTCATTTGTCTTTGTGTGGCCGTGTTATAGATGGGAAAACTGTTCAGGATGATCTCTTTTTGACATCTTTTTAAACCTAGGTTCTACCTTCCATGGGAGTCCTCTTACGGAGAGCAAGCCTCTCCAGTCGGCGGTGTGTTTCAGCGAGACTGAAGAGGACACCATAGGCATACTGTCGGGCAGCACGGAAAAGCAGAGATGCAGGAGGCAGTTCAGAGTTACACTCATCCTCTATACACACTGGGATTTTCATCTCTCCCTGAGAGATTAGAAAAGGTTGAAGAAAGAATTAAAAACATAAACCAGAACATTAATGAGTTTCATCTATTCATCTGACACACACACACACATAAATATATATATACAGTGAACCCTCGCTATATCGCGGTTCACCTTTCACGGTCTCGCTGCTTCATGGATTTTGCATTGTGCATTGTGTTCTGCATGCTGATTGGCTAAACAGCTTCTTCTCTACCTGCTTGCTAAATTTAGGTTTACCAATTCTCTTGCAATTTCAAGTTTCTCTAAAACCTGTAATGTTGACAAAACGTTCTGCACTGACAAAGGCCATAAATATATGAACATATTATTAAAAGCCTCAAAATTAGATACATTTTTTAATGTATCCTCAAGGCACATTGTTGCACATGTTTCCAGGTTTCCCTGTTCCAGCACGCCAGATGCGAAAGAATGGGTCTTCATTAGCCCTCTGCAGAGCTTAAAGAGCTGTCCCATGTATTCGATTTAGGTGTGATGGAGCAGGGAAACCGTGAAAACATGCTGGAGAGTGTGCCTTGAGGGTTGGGCAAACACCGCTCTAACATGCATGTACTGATATCAAGTTTTAAGTAATCTTTGGGTGATTATAGTTCAACAATTTACCTTGGTCAAAATGTGGTAAATTTGGGGATACATCAGTCCTCTTCTGTGCCTGTGCTCAGCTACACGTAGAACCTCAGCACTGACCTAAAAAAAAATGGTTTCAAGAAATTTAACTACATTTAAAACAGAAAACTTGTGTTGACCAGTCACAGCTTGAGATTGTGAGATCTGGGAGTAATAGCGCTGATAACCTAAACATTTCAACCCCACTTGCAAAGGTAATAACCTATAATTTTGCTGTTGGATTTTGGATTTGACCTGAGGCAGTGGGGGCGTAGTTATGTCCATGTGAGTCCTTGTTGCCATTGATAACAGTGATGGAATGTTTGATCCACTCCCGTTGCCCTGGGAACTGTGACCAGAGGTTGAGGTCCCTCTTCTAGGAAGGTCTTGCCATTGAGAGGGCTTGTCTGCCAAATGGCTGAAGAGAAAAGAACATTAATTAGATCTGTGTGGCCAGACTTAAGGTGGTTTTACATTTCACTTCCCTAAAACAAATTACGTTTTCATGTTTTCACTACCCCTCTGAAAGTAGACAATCCAAGTTCATCCAATTTTTACATCAAGGTAAGATACATTTCCATGATGAAGATATAACACCTAATTGCTAGACCAAGACTGCTGCATTATTGTAGTTCTCATTACAAAGTTCAAAAGTTAAAGCTGGGGTCACTCAACTTCTTATGTTAACACCAACATTACATTTTCACATTGTCACCATGAATGTATATAATGTGATGAAACTTCTTTAAAAAAAAATGTCAGCATAATACTGTGAAATACTGCAGCAAACAGAAAGGTTCATTAACCTATAGGCCTAAATGTGTTTTTATAGCACAAACTTCTCACTCTTGCAGGCACGACCCTCACTTGTCTTGATACTGCAAGAACCTCCAACTCCTTTTAAAGAGTTACCCTTTCTGTTCAACTTTAAATGTGGAGCTTTTAAAGCCCACCATTTACTGGCAGATATCAGTGGAATCCCTCATGCAAAAAAGCTGTTATTAATCTTCTATAAAAAATGTCACTGTTTGAAAACCAGCCTTCATATAAAACATACAAAAAGTTCTTGTAGGTTGGCTAAAGCTCTTCTTCTGAGCAGCCAGAAGAAGTCACAGAAATTAGTTTTTTTTTCATATTTAAAATGTGTTACTTTACTTTGAGTTGCCATCAGTAGGTTCATCTCCATCTGATGACGAAGAAGGTGATGGTGAGGGTCCAGACTGGGAAATGTGATGATTTGGTAACCGACTCCCTCCTTGTGTGGAATCATATGGAGCTGACCAGTCAGAGAGGCCCATCTTTGCCGTCAGAGAGTCACTGCAGTCTTGAGATGGCTGTGGGGGGTTCTGGAACATAGGGGCAGAGCCAGGTCCACCTGGAGTATTTTGATAGGGGGATTTTAACACAGGAATCTGGGCAACAGGGAACTGGGATTGAACAAGGTGGAAAGAAAAAGAAATAGACAAACATGAAATGAAAACAAACAAAATGAACATGGTCATTTTAAATTTGAATCTATGTTGTCAGCTTGGCACACAAAAGTCAAGGTTAGAAATGTGATTGACAGTGAACTGTCCTTGCAAGAAATTAGCTTTTGCACATAGTGTTTTTATAGGGCAGCAGCTGACCAGGACAAAATTACATACACAATTTTACTAAAACAATACCACTCTACACCCCCCCCCCCCCCCTACTCCACCCCAACCCAGAAAGAGAGAAAAACTCATTCAGGAATCAACCTGATTCTTTCCAGGGTGTATCGGTCCAATATAGCCAGGTGATCCACAAAAGGGAGTTTGTCCAAATCCTGGTACTGAAGAAAAGACAAAATTTTGCTTAACCAATGTAGTATTACCATATTCAGCACACTAAGAATAATTCAGAAACTCACAAATGAAAGAAGTGGGCCCCATGCTAGGCGGTTTGGAGGCATCTGAGAAATACTCCACAGCTTTCTTGAACCGCTCTACCTTGTCCTCCATACGTGACTAAGAAGGGAAGAAACATGACACTGCCTACTTCAAGCGCTGGGAATATGAATAAACAGCATGTTCAGGCTGAGGAATGAGTTGGTGAGTTTCTCAACATTTAGAGTAGTGACTTTGATTAATCTGAACAAGACCATATTTTGCCAACCAGAATTTGCGAGATCAGATAGTATTCTTGAATATATCTGCAAATATTAAAAACTTCAGACAATGAAATTTGCAGCAATCTTTTTTTATTGAACTAAAGAGATGGCATGAGATGATTTTGTCATATTTTTCTGTAAACCGTTTAGAAACATTCAATGAAGAAAGGTATGCCACAGTAAAAAATTGAATTGTGGCATAATTATGGTCATCTGTGACACAGTTGAGTTGCAAAGGAAGTTACAATAGGACTACACTTATTACAGTGTTTTTTCTTGTACTCTTGACTACTCAAATCACTTTTACTCTACATGCAATATTGACTCACACACTCATACAGCATATCTCCATCTAATCAGTTTCAAAGGCTACACAGTGATTTTATTCTATCACAATTCATTCAACAATGGATGCATCAGTAGATAACAGAACGTGGGCGATTAGAAATGTCAGGTCGGGAACTAAACCATCAAACTGCTCTTCTGCAGCTTCCCTCATAATATTCTTTTTAATTATGCAGAAAAAACAATTTAATCTAAATTGTGATAAGCAATCTAAATACAGAAACGCTTAATTTGATTATTTAATTCTCAGAAATTTTCTCTGCAGTTTTTTTCGTTACAAAAATTGTAGAGGATCAATATCAGCGACTAAAGAAATTTAGTGTGTCCATGGCTTACCTGTGACTGTTTGAAGACATCTTTTGCAATGGCATCAAGGTTCCTGAGGTCTTTTATGGAGGAAACGTACTCTGAGACAGCTTTGATTACCACTTCACAGGGTGGCAACACCAACTGATGGGCTCGGACCTGAGAGGTAGAACATTCATACTGAGAGGAGAATGACACAGAAAGCACTATATAAAAATATTTCCGAGGAAGGCAGGGAATCAGGATGGTTAGTGGAGAAAAATGGCAAGAAATAGGGAGCTGTCCTTGCCCAGCCTGACCACTTACAATTTAACATTGGTCTTCTTATGTAATTTCACTTTTACTACAATCTGAATTTCTTTGTAATCTTTTATATTTTTCAGATAAAGGCTATGTTGACAATCAGGCAAATACAAAATGAGGTCTGGGTTTGCCCTTTTTTGTCACTGCACACTAATTGTGAGTCTAAACACTGAGTCACTGAACGATTTATGATTTAACAAACAAAGAAATTTAATTGAATTTAGTAACGGCGAGCAGTGAAAACCAGTCATTATCTGAAGGGGTATTTTCTTGGCTGTGCTGTTGTGTGACAGTAACTACCATTTCCTCAAAGCAAGAAAGCTCCCAGTTCAAATCCATGGGGGACTGGGTACCTTTCTGTGTCAAGTTTACATGTTCTCTCTGTGTATGGGTTCCCTGCAGGTAATCTGGCTTCCTACCACTTCCCACTTCATGCATGTTAGGTTAATTAGACACTTTAAATTGCACACAGGAGTGAATGTGAGTGTATGGTTGTCTGTCTCTGTGTGATCTGTGATGGATTGGCAACCTGATGGGGGTGTACCCCAACCTCTCACCCAATGTTAGCTGGAACATCAGACTATAAAAGTTTTTGATACAATCTATAGAATAGATGCAAAATTAGGAGTTGCAATCACACTTATTGGGACAAGATCTTCTCACAGTATCAAAATTGTACACCAGGTATTTTAGGTTAATGGTTTTCACTAAAACAGCACATTAAATGGGTGAAGCATATTCTCAAGGTTCTGTTGGGAAAAAACACACTAAACATCAGGAGTGTTCCACAACAGTCCTTACCACTGTCCTGTAGGTTTTGGATGTTTCTCTGCTTCAACACATCTGATTCTGACTAGTGTAAAAGCTCTGGTTTAATAATGTATAACATGTAAAACCTGCAAGACAATTACCCACTTTGGATACACCTGATCTACATGGAGAATTATTCAGTACCTTAAGAGAGGCTAATGGGTGTTCTGGTCCAAGCAGACTCCAGTGGAAGGCAGCCAGGTCCTCATCAGGTAGAATATGATTTCCTGCAAGTATGTAAGTCTTTAATTGTTTGTCAGTAGAAAAAATAAACAGATTGAAGCCAATGAAGCCAACATTTTCTTTTAAAGAAGAGGTGTTGCCTTCTGCAAGGGAGCAAAAGAGAAAACTATGTCACATGCTTCAATATTCAAGTGAAATATGTGTGATGTGTTGCACCTCACCCAGAAGAGCAGCAAATAGAGGCAGGTGTTGTGTCTTGAGCCCAAGCTGCCTGGCAGCCTCACACAAGAGATACTGATGTGTGGTCAGATTCTTGCCATTCCAGCTGAGTTTGAGAGTGTGCGAAGAAAAGTAGGCTGGTATGTTGCAAAGTGCAAACTCAGAATCCTGGGCAATCAACCCAGCAAATCCACAGTCTCTGTAGAGAGACAGCACTTCCTGGTGGTGGTCTTCTAAAGTCTGTACAACCTGTAGAGGCAGAATTAAGAAACTAAGCGTCAAATTCAAACTTAAATTAAAGCAAATAATCCCCCACCTAAATTGAATATTTTGTCTTTTTGACAGGGGCTCAAAGAGATAAAACATATTTGATGACGCCTAGATAAATTAGGATTGAAAACAAAAAATATATTTTAAAGGCACTGAAGTAAACACTGACATGGCATGTCAATGTTACTTATCCTTCCAGCATTAAACATTAATTTGCTATATACAAGTTACTCATAAATTACTCCCTTGTTCCTAGCAAATCCTTAGACACAATATCATCCCAAACTTGTCTGCCTCCACTGGCCTCCGTTAACATTCTTCATCGATTACATCCATCATATTAAACCTTCACAACTTTCTTCATCAACAAAGGTTATTCTGGATCCCTCATTCCCCTGACACAGGTTTGTTCTAACTTGTGCGGGTTACTGAACGCCTTGTTCTTTGGGGACAGAACCTTCACCAAAGGTTTCTGCAGGTTTCACCAACTCAAAATGAAGACTTTTTAAAATACCTATATCACTACATACAAAAACACACAAAAGAGAGAGTCACAAAATGACAAATTCATTTATTTGAATGGAATTTGGTAATGTAAGTTACAAGCATTGTTGAAATACAGAAAGCAAAAGACATCTTGGTATGAGGTTGCATATGTATATGTGCTCTGACTACATAAATCTCAGCTACTTTCTCTCAAATAATCTCCAAATGGTCTTGAGCTCCACTGCTTTCTCCTTGCTGGTCCTCAGTGTTTGACTTCATTATTAGCTAACGATCTTTAGCAGAGCTATCTGACTTCCAACACTGCCTTCAATTTTCTCTGATCATTTGTATGCATCTTTGGACAAAGTTTCAGAAACACTACAGTGTACCTGTTTTTTTGGTTTGTTTTTTTTACTTAAAAGCATCTCTCAACAGTCCATGAGATAAAATCAGAAGCTTCTCGCAAAAAGCAAGAAGCTCTGGGTAGTTACTCAGGTAACTGCTTAAGAAGATGTCAAGCCCCTTTTGCATCAGTTGGAGGGAAAGCAACTCCTCCTTTCTGCACGCAACAGACAAGACTGCTTCAAATTGTTGGAGAATCAACAACATTCAAACAACATTACAATATATCAACAATTTGGTTAATCGATCAATGTATGTACACTTGTTTATAATAGTAGACAAAGTTAATCATTGCATACATGACAGATGTATAACCATGAACACTAAAACTAAGAGATAAGCACTCAAAAATATGTCCCTGACCAAAAAAAAAATATATCATTCATGTGCATGCACCGAATGAGTCTAATGAAAAGCAAAATATTCAAAAAAGATAGAAAAGCAGAAAAAATCAGGCCATGACATGTGTTGTGGGCACTATTAAGATATTAAAACCATTTTTCTTACTTTTATTAAAGGGCTCTCCTACAACTATTCCTACCAGCAGAAACATCTCCTGTCAGTTTGTCCTGCAGAAGTGTCTGAACAAGAGGTTTCATTTGCCCTTGCACCTTACGGGGCCTCATAGTAGAGCGGTTAAAACACACTATCTACCTAACTACTGCATGTTTGAGAGGTCTCTTCTCCTGTATTTTAAGTAATTAGTACATTACATAGTACTTGCTGCTGCTGAATATAATTTAACAAAAAATCTCTCTAAATTACACAAAAGATAACAATACCTTGAGGACTGATTCTGAACCACAGTATGGAAGTAAATATGTGCCATCAGAATTTGAATTAAAAATAACTCTGAAATTTGAATGTTGTATATTAGTGCTTACTTTTTCAGTATTAAAATAAATTCAGAATATATTTTTAACCTAAAAAAAATTCAATGTCATTATTTGTACATTAAAAAAAAAATTCAGTGTAATTTTTTTTACATGGTTGCAATTTTCAGTTATTAAAAAAATTCACATTCCTATTTCAAAGTGATCAAATTTTCAATATACATATTTTTCACAGTTTAGATTTTCAGTGTTAAAAAATTCAGCATATAAAAAATTCAATTTTTCAAAATTCTAATGCATTATTTTCGTTGTCCTCCAATTCAACTTGCTCAAATTCGCTGTCTCAAATTCAGCGTCTAAAAATTCGCTATAAAAATGGCCAATGTTACTTTGTGCCACAGACATTAGCAATGGATGTCCGATTCCAACATCCACCTAATCACGTGACACAAACCAGTGTTTTAAATCAGGCTTTAAGATAATGTATCAAACTTCATGCGCAAAATAAAATATACTACAGAAACATGAAAGCATTAAACTCACCGTTGGGTTTGAGTTCGCCTCCATGGGTGATACTGGAACTTCTTCAATATGACGGTTGTGTCACGTGATTAGGTGGATGTTGGAATCGGACATCCATTGCTAATGTCTGTGACACGAAGTAACATTGGCCATTTTTACAGCGAATTTTTAGACGCTGAATTTGAGACAGCGAATTTGAGCAAGTTGAATTGGAGGACAACGAAAATAATGCATTAGAATTTTGAAAAATTGAATTTTTTATATGCTGAATTTTTTAACACTGAAAATTTAAACTGTGAAAAATATGTATATTGAAAATTTGATCACTTTAAAATAGGAATGTGAATTTTTTTAATAACTGAAAATTGCAACCATGTAAAAAAAATTACACTGAATTTTTTTTTTAATGTACAAATAATGACATTGAATTTTTTTTAGGTTAAAAATATATTCTGAATTTATTTTAATACTGAGAAAGTAAGCACTAATAAACAACATTCAAATTTCGGAGTTATTTTTTATTCAAATTCTGATGGCACATATTTACTTCCATACACAGCTGATGGTAGTGACTTTCGGTGGAGCCAGGTCTTTATATAGATCAAGTCTGGGGTGCTGCAGCTTGTTAATATCCTGGAGGACCTTGCTCTTAATTTAGCATCTCAATATACTCTGCCAAAAGTGAAACTACCTTTCATCCACATTAATAGCATCTAAAATCAGGATTATATGATAATTCAAATTAATACTAATAAACAGCAGCAATAGTTCTGTGATGATAATGTACTGGGATTTCCGAATAAATCACAGGTCATTGCTAAGGGGAAAAAACAAAACACTGGCTCATTCGCCTGGCAACTCTTCAAAAAGGGACTGAAAAGTCTGGCAAAAGCCAAGGAAAAGTGTACCTTGACCAAGAAAAAAGAATCCTTCATGGATCCCTCTACTGCTTGAAAGGATTTGGGAGTTCTTTACTTTTCACTGCATCCATGAACTGTTAGTGACGCCAAACTCAACAGCTCTCTGTACCAGTTTTTTTAGCTTATGATGATCACAGAAAGATCAATGGATGGTGGACTTAGTCACAATAGTGTCTTCTTTCCGTGCTAGCCCATTGTTGAATAAGCTGTGCATGACTGATTAGTTTCTCAACTTGCTACATGGAAAAACCACTTCTGACTGCATCGTGTAATGTGTAGATACCCCAGCTCCCCATAACAACATGTTGAGAAGCTCCACACCCTTTTCCATGTTCTTGTTGTGGGAATTCCCAAATTTTGAAAGTGGCATTGGGTCCATCTATTGAAATGGACACCAGTCTCCTCAAGCGGGTCCAAACAATCCTGAGGGAAAGACAACAAATTTAGAATGATCTATTTATTCACTTCATGCATAGTGTATTTCTGGTGCTTAAAAATAACTGAGAAAAAAAAATGCTGCCTAATATATTTACACATATATTGACACACATATCTATACATATATACATATATATATATTGTAAATGCTGCCTCCTTTATGCCACATGGACTAATGGTGTAAGAACCATTCAGCTCATTTACTTGAAAATTTTGAAATAAGGTGGTCTAACAGTACTTTTTTCGAACTTCCATTGAAAACAGAATTTAAGTAGCAATAGTAATTTTGTACTTCAAGCATTGAAGTAAAAGTATTCACTATAAGAACTTCTTTTTGAGTTAATATATTATCTGTAAATTATCCCAATGCATGATATACAGTTCTTCACCGTCAGTTCACGGCTTTTATTTATTTTCTTTACGTGTATTTTGAAAAGGATTGCGATAGAGAACGTATTCCAAAGGTAAATAGTGCTAAACGCTAGCATTAAGATGCAAAGCTTGAAAAAAAATGAAAAAAAGAAACAAATATTTAGCAGATAAAATGAAGGTCAAAGGGAGAGAGTAAATGTACTGAGTAACTTTTCACCACTGCATGGAAACAGGAAATAGGTCATTTACATGATCTACTTACTGTCATGTGTTTCGTCAAAATCATTGGCCGTTGAATCCCCCATGAATTTGGATCCAAGGTATCTGGACTGCACCTGCTCCTTTCCCAAAAACGTAAATGTAGGTCCAGTTGTTTGGTTTTGATGATTTGATTTGCACTTAAAAGGTTTAAGACACAATTCTCATGATGATTTTGTAGTAAATTAGGTTTTGCACAGCATTTTGAGACGCTGAATCATATGCCACAGTACCACCGAATAGGGTAGTGTCTTCTCCTTGTGTACTCATGGAACATTTTATTGTGAATAATTCAGTCATTTTGATTTTTTTTGCGAAACGTTTTTATGTGTGCTCTCAAAGCATCCATGTCGCCTGAGACATAGCCAAATACTGTCACATTGCCAATATCGCGTGTTTTGCCATACGCTAAAAAAAATCTCCTGACAATTGGACAAATGTTTACACAAATCCAAACTAATCACATGGACTAACAAATATTTGGTATACAGTCAGTAAATGATTTTAATCATCTAGAAGTTTTTTTCCCTTTTTTTTTTTTTTAACATGATTTGGCCTGAATGTGAAAGCCAAATAGTATAAACAGCAGAACTTGACTAGGTACAATAAGAAAATAATAAAAATGATAATGAAACTGACTTGGATTTTAAAGGATCAGTAATCATGTAAAAAGAGGAGAAAAAACAGCTAGTAAAATCCTTGGTGTCCCCTTGAGTCACTGAAAAAGAATGAATGTGCTAAGGCTGGAGGAATCATCAGAGACAAAATCACAACAGCAAAGGCTGTCACATAATACATAAATTTGTTCTTGTTCTTGCCACCTTGAGAACATTCTTCTCAGCTCTGATATTTCATAGTCCTACTCACCGAAGCATACGTCACATCAAGCGCTTAGTTTAGTTCACAAACAGTGAACTAAACTAGTTTTTTAAATTGCTGATGAATTGATGAAGGGAGAAGAAGGGAACGAGAAAGAGGACAAGTTAACACAGTTGTTTGCTGTGTTAACTTGCAAACCCCCGCCCCCCACACACACACACACACAAAGATAATTTCAATCAATAATTAACAGTTGAAATTTTTTATATTCTTGTACGTAATAAAGATATTCGATCTGTCATTCTACTCTGCTTAAATAATGAAAAACATACATGGCTTTTCATAATACTACCCATTTTCATTTTGGAAATGAAAAATTCAACAAAGACTCAGTGAAATACAAAACTGTGATGGTGCAAAAAAAAAGATCATTTTTCAAACATTTGGAATAAGATAAAATAATCATCAACATTATGTTTTTATGTTTTGTAGGAAAATTCTCAACTCTCACATGTTACATGCTTAATACTATATGCATTATTAAAAACTTGCATAACAAGTACGAACAACGGATAGCAGTCTTTGTACGGCCTTGTAAGAAAGACTTAATCAAATTGTTCACATTTTTGCCCCCCCGCCCCCCCATGACACGGCAAAAAGCACAGGATCTTGTAATTGTGATCATAAAATCTATGACTTTCTTATCATCATTATTTTATTGTTACGTTTATCCCCAATGAACGCAATTCATTATTTGTTTTTCGTGACAATTACCAAAATCTTGATGGAAGAGTTTCCATACCAAACATTCTGAAAAAAGTAACTAGAAAGACAATATGCCTTTAATTATCTTTCCTTGTCTTAAATACATGAAGAAAAAAATACATATATGATGAATAAATCAATAAAAAAGAGAAAATGCCACTTTGTTGCACTTCCTGTGGCTTTGATAACTTTAAATATTTGAGAAATGGCTTTAACTAATGAGAAAGAAAATTATCAGTTTCATTGGGGCCAACTTCCTTGGATTGCAGTAGACAAATAGGCCTCCCCCCCCCCCCCCCCCAATTCCCATCATATACTTCTAATGATACTGACATTGTGGCCATTGCTGACGCTGTTATTGAGTTTACATATTGTTGATGACAATATGCAAACCTTCCTCTGACAGATTCAATTAACATTTTTTTAAAATGTACCCAAATCTATTTACTGTAGTGGTAGTGTGTGATTGCTCCCTTAGTCATTACCCAAGATGTATAAACTTCAGCAAACGTCTTGTTTTTTCAAAGGAATCTTTAAGGTTTTATGAAATGGAACATCAATTTCGCTTAGTATTCAACAGTTATTACTGGAGAAGTATTGGATCAGCTTCACAATAGCTTGCTTTAAATATTTTCTTCTGTTTAGATATTTTTGCATACATTTGGCCTATCTGAATATAAAACCACTTCTGGACAAGTCACCAACTTAAAACATGGCCAAAGCAGACAAACATTAATGTACACTTTTAATACAATCCTCAATTAAGAATAATCATCCAAATCTGTTTCCATCTTTACTTTTATCTTTTTAGATGAACAATGGTAAAGCCTTTTTTATGTTATTAATTTGTGCCAATTATTGGATATCTCTGTGTGCTGCCACAGAACAGCACATACTCACTGTTTACTGTTCCTGCAAGGTTCTATCAACACACTCCATCACTTTGGTAAGCTAAAATATTTCAAATTGACCAAAGGTTCCATGTTCGTCTAGGAGTGTTTCTGGAATATGGTACAGTTATGTCATTACTTCATGAATGTCATCTTCTAAAGCAGAAACAGGCACCAAGTGGAAATGGCCCAAACTAAATTGTGGTACCCAAGACCACGGATGGGCTGCTGCCACGATTTGACCATACTGTCTCTATAAATACTTCTGTGGAGTTATAAGATAAGATCAAATTATCAAATAAAAATAACAAAGAATAAAATTATGTTGAATAATAAATAATTAAATAAAATAATAAGATAAAATAAAAAGCATACAATTGGACAATACAAAGTTAAAAAATGAACAGTTATTCTTACCCGTACTCGGAAGCGGAACATGGCCAGGCGAACACAATGGCTGAGGCAAGCAGGGGGCAGGAACCATGCCCGTGGAGGCGGTGTGGCCTTGCTACCGACGTGGTTGACTATCAGTTGTGCCGTTTGTCTCTGTCCCTGAGCTCGGCGAGCCCATTCGGGCCAACGCTCCTTCCCAAGAGTGCCGTTGAAAACCACCACCAACTCCAGACCACCCTGGTACAGACAAGCCTGTGACAAGGCGGCCAGATAGCCCAGCATGGCATTCCACTCGCCACCGCACACCCAGTCAGTCTGGTAGCCGCCATAGAGGCGCTGTAAGCTGGAGTCAGCGTCGATAAGGACTCTGGCAGGCGCAGGAGGCATAGGCCCAGGATGATGTGGGTGGTGATGATGAGGGGGCTGGCGGGCCGCGGTACGGGCGAGCTTCAGCAGATCCACAGGAACGGCCGCCCCGGGACACCTCTTCTCTAAATATTCCTGAAAGCCCTGCACTCCCATGACGGTGTTATTGAGCCTATGTGTTTGGCCGGGAGCGTGCTCAGAATATGTTCTGTACGCCGTGTTTGTAATGTGTTATGGAGCGAGACTGCGCTAGCTATGCTCTGCGAGCAAGCTAACAGGTCTCCAATGTAATGAACCGTTTAGCTCAAGCTGTTAAACAACTTAACTGAAACCCAGGCAAGGTAAATTAATCAACATACGCTTCCGCGCAACTGATCTGACTAAATTATTTTTTTCAATATCAGAAAGCCAATTTTTCAGCTTTGGTCGTGTCTATACGGATTGCTTTCCATAATTGTGGATATTTGGTGAAATGTCAATAAGGCCAGTGTTATCATCTCCGAAAAAACAGAAGAAAGTAAAATTTTCTTCTCCCATAATTTTGCTTTAACATAACACGTTAAAGGAATCTATCTGAATGCATATAACTGGATAATTCCGTGAAATGTCTCTAGAACAATATTCCTGCTACGTACGACCGCGTACAATCCTGCAATTAGTCTGCAAACCACAAAATGGATGGATTGAATTTGGGCATACGAGAAATGTAAACTTTAAGACTGATTATTTAATTCGGAACTATTTTTTCAAAATTATTCTGAACTAACACTAAGAAAGGTCAGCACGAAGCGGTAACTAATCTGTTATTTAATATCAATGTAGTTATATATATATATACACACACACGTTAATACAAGTACAAGTACACACGTGTACTTGTGTAAGTATATCAAATAGTGGGTATGGATAGCTATACTTATATTGACGAACGGAGGCTATCAGTTAGCTGTTTGCAGGTTCCCCGGCGTGATTTGACGCGTCAACTCCCCAAGACAAGTCCGAGCGGTTACGAGGTGGCATAAGATGGAAGCTTGATGGAATAAAGAAGCAATTCAAATAAAATCAAAAGTCAGATGGCACCTCCCTCGCTTTCTTCTACACTCGTGGTTCCCTGTTGCAGAGGGAAGCATTACTTTCGAGCGACATGAGCCATCTTGCGACTTGCTTATGGCCTAGTACAGTGGGGAGGAGTGGGCACTTCCGCAAAGAAGGCTGGAAAATGTAGTCTCAATGGGCAACAACTATCGCATGTTGTAAAAAATAAACTACAACTACCAGCGTCATGGTAAAAAAAGTTAAGTCGGATAGAGAACTGGAATTGACCACCTCTCTAAGTAGTCCTCAAATGAATCAAGCATGAACGTTGTATTTCTGTTAAGGCTACCAACCTGACAGTTATTCATCAGCCACTGAAGTCATTATATATATTCTTTCCAGAATAGAAACTGTTGTGAGGATATCATTATATATTTCTTGTGGATTTAAAGAATGTGCTGCTATTTAATGATTTAATTAGAAAATAACCGTTTTTTTTAAACGTAAGCTATTACTGCATGGTTGAGAAGTGGAACCGTGGTATCCATCAAACAACATTTATTTGGCCCGGATCTGTCCCAGATCCATCTTAAGGTGAGGGCAGGACCTGGACTGTTAGCACAACGGTACGGATGTTTACTGTTGTGGGCCAGCTACGGGCCAGATCAAAACCAGATAAGAAGTAGGCTACCCCCTGCCAAAATGTGTACGTCATCTTTCTGATGCAGTGCCAAATAGTACTTTACAGATTTTATTACAGTCCTCTATAGGTTCAGTATCACTAACAAAACAAAAGTTGCACCTGTCATTCATTTTAAATTAAAATCTTATTCTTTTAAGAAACGAATGACGAACAAAACGGTGAAATGGGAGACAACAATGAAAAAAATGCCATTATAAAATGATCAGTTTAAAGATAAATGGAATCAATTGTACATTTTTGCCTAACTGAATAATTTATATACATTTATATGATTAAAAAAATTAGGTATTGCTTATATTTATCATATAGCAAACAACAATGAACTTTCCCCCTTTTTTAATGTTTTTTTTTACACATGGCACCAGAAATGGCAAAATAGGAAACAGTGTGACATGAAGTTTATGTGCTGTCTAAATTCCTGCAACTGAAGAGTGCAAACATGTCTGCTTGCTCCTCCTGCTTTGCAGTTTTATTTGCCTTTCAGTCATTTTAAATTGTAGCGTCTGTTCACGCTACGTAGCTTCCCTTTCATGCTATATCTTGACACTATATCTACGAATGTGTTTATATCAGGTGGTGATGTTTTCCAGCAGGACAATCTGTACCTTCAGGCTTCAGACACTACAAAATCATTCTACATTTTACAGTCCTGGAGATTATTTTCTTATTTTTCTTTTAAATAAACCAAGACTTTTGTAACCAGTTATCGTTGTACAATTTATCTGACAAGCCAGCGACTACAATTTTCTCAAGTAATCCAAACGATGTGTCCCTATGAAAGCTGTCAGTTTATTAACAGTTTATTAAATTCTTGCACTACAAGAAAGGTTTTTCTCTTATAAACCAAAAAGGGACATACTCTCCATGGATTCCAGTGGTAAGGAGGTCACATTTAGAAAAGAATTAAAAAACGGTCACCTACAACTTAAAGCTAAATGATACCGTGTTTTTTCCAAGGCTTTGCAAAGATACTTACATATGACTTGGTGCTAAACAGAAGCAAAGTCAAAATGTTGGCGATGGAGCATATCCTAGCAGACAATAGGCGAGAAACGGGGTACACCCTGGACAGTTCACTGGTCTTTCAAAGGGCCATTGAATCTAGTCTACCTGACTTAAATTTTGTGTCTGTAATACAACTAAAGTAGATGGTTGGAGATGTTCGTGCCATATTCAAAGACAATATACTCATCCACAATCTTCCATGGTTTATATAAACATTTACAAACCACCATGGAACTGTTTTATTGATTGCACTGAATTACTTTCAGCTGTCTGGACTGATTTGACTAAGAACTCGAATGTGTATGTGGATGTAGCCTAAGATAAGCATGGTAAAAAACACATTGCTGTCCTTGAAATATTTGGTCTAACTCAGCATTTAAATGAGCCCAGGCACGGCAGGACACACTCTAAATGTGCTCATTTCAAAGGGCTCCTCCTGTTATTTCAAATATGGATGTTATCGTTGTCGCTTTGTGTATTAATTTTAGTGTTTACATCTAGGTAAATCAGCAGTTGAGTCTGCAGTTGTTCACTAAAGAATCATAATTGAAAATGAGAAGTTTTAACGTTGTTTAAGGTGTTTAAGCTTCTGATGTTGATGATTAGTTGAAGTCTTACACATCAAGCATTTAAAATCTTTTGGATACAACTGCTCCTGCCAGGGATAGAATAGTTTGAAGTAGACAAAATACACCATAGAGGAAAATAAGACTTATTCTGCAATAAAACAGTTCAAGGCATTGAAAATACATCTTTTTTAAAACTCAAATAACTGCTCCGCAGCTAGTTACATACATACATATACATAGAGCAGACACATTACACCTACTACAGACAAAACAGTTGAAGAGAGTCCATCGACATGCTGCCTTGACAAGTTCTTCACTAGATCCTTAAAGTCTGTTTTGAGTAGTGTATTACTACAACTCACTCATGTGATAATTTCTCACTTCAGACTGGAAAATTTACAAAGGCCTTAAAAAATGCCGTCGTTAAGTCTCTTCTAAAAAAGAGCAGTCTTGATGCCACAGTACTGAACAAGTACCAGCCCATATCAAACCTGCCATTTTTAGGTAAAGTCCTGGAAAAATCCTTCAACTTTATCTGGCTTTCTCCTATCTAACAATGATCACAGATGCAGGCAAAATCTCAGTCTTAGTTCTTCTGGCCTTTGACGCAGTTGACCATATCACTTTATTATAAAGGTTAAAAGACTAGGTGGGAATCTCTGGTATGGCTTTAAACTGGTTCAAGTACTACCTGAATGACAGGATGTACTTTGTTGAAATTGGCAACTGTGTCTTAGGCTGATTGGGTATGACCTGTGGGGTTCCCAAGGGGTCAGTCCCGGGATGATTAGACTATGTTTACACTGCAGCTTGAAGTGAGCAAAATCCGATTTTTTGTAAAATCCAAATTTTTTGGAGTGGTTGTTAACATTTCCTAAAATGTGTCTGTATGTGATATCCGGTGTGAACTGCAAGCTAACCTAAATGTGTTTGCTTGCAATACAGTCAAAGGATTGGATGATATAACAATAGCATCTTAATAATCAAGGTCGAAGTATAGAACTATCATTGAACTAAAAACTGAACTTTAAAAGTCACACAAAAAGAGCAACCTTATGCCATCTAACAAAAATGACCAGATTTAAAGCAATAATGTCTAAACTAGAATAAACCATGCGTTTGCCTCCAGCAGGTTAGCCTACGTTAACAGCATGCTCGCCCTAAGAAAGTTGCAGAATAACGCTGCTCGAGTTCCTACTAGAACCAAAAAAAATGACAATATCATTCAATATCATTGCCCCCCCACAACTCCTTCTGTGGTCCCCTCTACCTCTATCTCCTGCTGTCACCACTGACTCTGATCATTGTTTCTCCTCTATATAGCTTATTGTCATAGTGATGAGAAATGTAATATTGTGTCTACTCTGTAAGTCGCTTTGGATAAAAGTGTCTGCCAAATGCATAAACATAAAACATAAACATAAACATAAACAAGTGCTCATGTCTCTGCACTGGCCCTGCACTGCACTGGCTTCATGTCAGTTTTTTTTGTGGCTTCTTGTCACTTAGAGAATAGGACTTAAAACATCACCAAATGAGTGAACTTGGACTCTGAGAACCTCAGGTAGTGGTCTCTGCTGGTGCCCAGTCAGGACCAAGCAAAATTAGGCTGCATTTCAGTGTTATGCATCTAAAAGTGAGAAAGAGGAAGTGAGAAAGACTTCAACCCTGACAATGTTTTAATCAAGGCAGAAAAAGTTCTATATGGTTTAAAAATATATATATTGGACACTTTAAATAGTCTTGTACTTGAAATGTGCTGGACGAATAAATTTGACTTGCCTTGCCATGACTCATACATTTCTTTCAGGTAGAGGTAAGAAGAAACCAGAAAAATGTAAGCCGAAGGGAGATCAAACCAGGAAGCATCCGCACAGTAGCTGAGTCAGTGTTGACTACTTCTGATAATAAATATAACTATACAATAATATGAAAATGCCAATATTAGTGAATGTGCAAAAAAAATATCATCCACAAAACAAACATATCTATGTTTAACCACTGCTTTATTACAATTTTTTATTCTTTTTATTACAATTTATAATTCAATCCGAGTCAGCACTGTCTCTGGCAATTCTGATAACTAGTCAATTAACTAATTCAGTCAAATCATCTGACCCTTTGGTGTTTCTGGTGACCCTGCCGACTCAAGTCATTCAACTGGATAATCTGATGCTGTTGGGATACTGCTCACTCTCCTTCCATATTTTGCATAAAATAGCCAGAGGTGTCATAGGATCTGGGTTGGGTTGACTGTGTCTTCACTGAAGTGAACAAAATTAGGTTTCCTGATGTTTTCCTAGTTGGAATTGACTGAATTTATGTAACTCACTTATTTTTCCCCTCATATTGGATTTTTACTTTTCCACAGTACTCATATAACCTCTCTGGTTGTACTGTTGGGTTTCTCCAGTGTCTTTTGCAATTGATCCACCTCTTGAAGGACAATACACAGTTAAATACACGTGTCATATCACATTTCTGGGAAATCTGTATGAATAAGAAGATGGTTAGTTCATATCAGAAGAAACTGGCACAAGATACTTGATAATGTTATGTCAAGCAGTTTTACTGTGTGGGGCAGGTCCAGCCAATGAAAAAAATATATATCACATCTGAAAATCAGAGCTCTTTCAGACTGAGACCTGCTCTGGGAGCTCTTTCAGTCTGAGCCCAGCGCTGCATTACTTTACCTGTGACCTGAATGAATCCCATGTTTGTGCACTAACAGCTTCTCTGGATTATTCTCAGGCTTCAAACAGAAGAATTTGACTCCAGAGAAACATATTGTTGTAAGATGGTACATAAATAGTTTTACCATTTAGAAATTCAACATCAGGAAATTAATTTGACATTCTACTGTTTAATTGTAAATTCCACTTTATCCACAACATCCAGAACTTATTTTTCACAGCAATCTTCAATTCCATTTTATTTTCACAGCAACCATTTAATCTCAAGACACTTCAAACATAGTCTAAATACAAATACAACCAATTTAATTGCAATAAAATCTTGATCTAATCAATTCAGAGCCAAAGCTAAATTGCGTAGCTGAGGAAACCAAAGTACTACACAATAAAAATCTAAGTTCAATAGACTTTGAACATTGGCTCTAGATAACTTTTAACCACTCAGCATACAATCATCACTTAAACCTGCAGTTCACATTTTAGAAGAATGCATGTCTATCTCTTGAGGCTGAGGGCTATGATGACAGATTCTACAGTGTATGTTTGATTCAGTTTAGTCTTCATTTGACACTCAGAGGCCTGAAATAAGAAACACACACCAATAATTTAGCATATCATACAAATAGGCACAAAAAAAGAGATAAAAAATTAGTCACGACTAGAGAGCCTATATCAGTGAATACACAACTGGGACTGGTATTTTACAAACGAAAACATTACAGTAGGCCATTCTGACCCATTTAATTTTCTTAGCATATTTAAGAAAAGTGTAATACATTTTTATTAATACAATTGTGTCATTCCCCTTTCTGTATTTAGACATTGTCTGGTGCAGGCTGAAAATATTTTTATAGGTCAGCTGTGGCACCCATTAAAAAAATAAGAGGGAAGCAAAAAAGGTCAATAAATTTGCAAATAAGACAAAGAGATGCACAAGATGTAATTGTATTTGAACATCTAAATCCACATAAAAAACAAGATATCAGCAGATCATGCAAAACGCACTGTAAAAATTAAGTTCTAGGAAAACCCTCATGAAAATTGTAAATTCAACATTTTAATATAGCAAAAATTTAAACATAGTTACTGGGGCCAAGTTCATTATCAGTTTGGAAGATATTACCTGCATAACAACAACTTCAAACTTGAATTGTTATAGATGTATTTCTGTATCACATTAATCTCAAATAAATCAGAATTAAATGTATTACAGAATTGAGTCAATTCACAACTGACAATCAATTTGCCTGTGAAATAAAGGTATAATGCAATATATTAATTTAAATATCATGTCATGTCCTAGTATTGAAGGAATATTCTTCCCTCAATATTAGTAGATGACAGTCAAAGCAGGTGAGTCCTCCTGCAAATCATTTCCTCTTTCCAATAAAAAGCAGGCCCATTCAAGAACATCTGCATATGCAAGCAGGTGAATAGGATGACAGGAATGAGAAAACACAAATTGTGCCAGCTTAAATAAAATGGCAAAATTTGTAAAATATTGAAATGAAAAAGAAAAAAGAAAAAAAAAACATTTTTCATTGCTATAGTCAAACTTAAGAAAGGCAAACTCTGTAAACAAACACCTCTAAACAAATGAAAATTCTACTTCATAAATGTGTATGTATCCGTTGCTGTTCTTTCATCATCCAACATTTAACTTTCAGTAAGTAACTTCTGGAGTAACTGACTGACAAGAGTGTTTTTATAGAAACACTCACCTGAACAGTATTTCAGACTGTGAAGCTGAATTTTCCTATTAAAAAAAGCAAAAGTGCTTCTTTATGCTCTCTGTAATTCTCAATTCCTTAACACTGGTCATCTTTAAAATATAAGTCAGCAAGTTTTCTATTCACTCCAACTTGAAGTGTAACTGACAAAGAGAGAAAACATGAAAACCCTCAGTGTTTAATGTCAGCATGGAACCTAATCTCTCATTGAAAATGATGACAAACATTTTATTACATTTCAAGAAAAATTCTCAGAATGTGTCGATTAATTCTGAAAGTTATTACAATATAAGACTATTCGCAGACACCCTCCCCCCTTTCTTTTACAGAAATTTCCTAAATCTAACCATAGACTGTAAATTAAAATGTCAAAATCACTAAAGGTTTTTTCGTATGGAAAAGGAGGAAATATTTCACTTATGAAGAAATTTAAGTTTTCCCCTCCGCACTGAGGTGCCCTTTAATCTTTGGAACCAGCATGTGGTATAAGTAAAAATAAGTAAAAGATCAACTCTCCCACCATTTAAGGTTTAAAAAAAATTAAATAAAAAATCAGTTTTACTTGGAAGATGTTTAAAAAAAAAAAAAAAAGGCAGATTCACGTAGAAGCTCCTCAAGTTAAATTAAATACTGACATTAACCAAAAAAAATGACCAAAAAAAGAATGCTGAAGTCTTCAAACGTACCGTAATTTTTGGACTATTACAGTTAATTATTGATAAACAGAAACATGCACAAATACTTTTTTTCTAACCTGTTTGTTAATTTTCGGCCTGTAAAAATTCCATAAATTAGCCACATCATTGTTTAAGCTGCAATTTTCAGTGCAGTTTATGGTCCTGAAATTATGCCAATACATAAGTGATTAGCATTCTTTTTTCCCCACACAGGAAGGTTGAGGATTCTGCTATTTTAAATGCACAAATGAAAAGTTAACACCTCTGCTATAAAGAAAAACAATACTTTTAGCCGTTTGAAATATTGAACTTTTTCCGTTTTTTTTCCACCATACAATAGTACTAACTGCAAAGGTTTATTTCATACACAACATTATTAGTTTCAAGTATCCCTTTAATACTATGAATGTGAGCATTTATTATATGTCCCATTCCTAATGAGTACCAAACGTAGGAAAAATACCTAGTGTAATATTGTAAGAAAATTTACAGTTCGATTCTGAGCCACTGACATCTGTAAAGAGCAGTGTGCTGGGTTCTGAACCTTTGCAGTACTCAAAGACCCTGAGAAAAAGCCCTTGGAGTTTTGTGATCAGTGCCTGTGCTCCCAGAACACTTAAGCTTATCAAAAGGCACATAAAACACAGAAACCAAATGTCTAAGCACGGCAAAAAACTTATTTGCAGCCAAAAATCAACACCACAGCATCTGGTCTCTAATTTTAGTAAAATAATGGTTTTACATGGCTTAAAGTTTGTGTATAAGGGTCATATCACTCCAGAAGTTATTTTTGGCTCTAACAGCAACACTAAAATGTTGTAGTTTCAGTTCAAGTGTAAGTGTGTGTGCGTACGTGTGTCGCGAGCCAGTTTTGTCCATTTTGTTTTTAGGCAGTGTCCTCGTCCATCTTTGCAACATCATCCAGTGTGACGGCAGCCAACTTGTCATAACTTTCCCCACTGCCTGCTTTTGACAGAGAGGGAACTTCTAACATGACAGTGCACTCATCTTTTGGCTCCTCCCTTTCCCTTTTTTCTTCCTCTTTATGCAGCAGGCGGTAGTTGATGCCCATACCCACAAAAAGGAAGACACTTGACACCAAAAGTATTATGCCGCAGGTGATGTAGGTATAATCATAGTGGTGATAGTAGTCATAAAAACTGCCTGGAGGGGAAAAAGACAAAGGTCATTTTGACATTATTTTCCTTAGCTTAAAATAAAACATGCAGGTAAAAAAAAAAGTATTTTTTAGAAACAAAATTGAAAATCAACTACACAACCCTGATTATACTTTTCCATTTACATAAATGTAATAGTTTTTCACCTATTTTTAAATCTATGGGTTGCAACACTTACTTGTTAGTGGTGGTCCCAACAGCACCGGTGCACACTCCACTATGGTGACCAGACCTACAGCTGAAGAAAATCTCTGTGCGCCTACAATGTCCATTAGGGTCTCAAACAATACTGCACTAAGCCAGCCAAAAGCAAAGCCAAAGAAGATGGCATAAACCACAAATCCTGTGTAGTCCACCGACAGTGGTGCCAGCACGTGACATAAGCCATTGTAGAGTACAGAGGCAGCAAAGTAATACTGCACCCTAGGACGGACCCATTTGGTGTTCGCCAGAAGGCCCATGGACGGCCGGGCAACCATGTCAACAAAAGCCAGCACTGACAGAAGGAAGGCTGCCTTTTCTTTGCTGATGCCCTTACTCTTGGCATAATTAGAAAGGAAGACAAGTGGAGAAAAAAGCCCGAAGAACATGATAACATTTCCCATAAGGTAAAGCAGGAAGCCACGATGTTTAAAGAGTGTCAGGTCGATAAAGGAATTGATTGTCTGCATAATTGTTTTCTTGGACCTTTGCTGTGCTGGAACAGCTCTGTTAACATCCACTTCAGAGTTGGGCTTCAATGGCTGTGGTTTGGGTCCAATGGGTCGCATCAGTGAACCAGCCACACAGCAATTTAACAGAAGACCTCCCAGGATGAGGAAGCTCCCCCTCCACCCAAACTCATCATACAGCCAAGTATTGATAGGAGCCAAAGTGGACAGAAACACAGGACTGCCAGCCATAGCAATACCATTAGCGATTGGCCGGCGTAGGTAGAAGTATTTGCCAATCATAGTGAGTGCAGGATTCAAGTTGAATGCCAATCCCAAACCTAAGGAAGAAAAAGATTATGAAGAAGCTCAGAAAAGAGGGTTATATTTGAGCCACATTTTCACATTTGAGTCAGAGAGATGTACAGTTTTCCTTAATTGTAAAGCTCCCATTTAAGAAGGGCCCACAGGTTCTGAATAGGGTTGGGGGCAGGTTAAGAGGGGGGCCATAACATTATCATCTTTAAGGCCTTTCATTTTGAGGCACATAGGAAAGCACTTCAAACCATGTGAGGGAGCGTTGTCCTGTATAAAAATCATGGTCTTCTTGGAAGACGCAGACTTTTTCCACTACCAATGCTAGAAGAAAGTGTCTTCTAAAAACTGGCAGTAGTTTTGGGAGTTTATTTTTAGTCTATCTTTAACCCAAAAATAATAATTTGATAGCAGCCCACACCAGTACTCCACCTCCACCTAGCTAGCTCCTGAATCAAAGTGGAGCTCTGTGTCTGTTAGTGATCCATCCATGGGCCCATCCATCTGTTCCATCAAGAGTCACTTGAATCCCATCAGTCCATAAAAACTCTGAAAACACTGATTTCAGATACTTCTTGGATGTGAAGTTTTCTATAAGACATTTCGGCTTCAAGAAGCTTTACATCCAGTTGCCTAAACTGAACTTTTTCAAGCTTGACCATGACCTGGATGACTGAGAATCTTCTGGAATAGGGCTGCGCTATAGGATAATTTAATCCTGGTATCTTCACAATTGATTTTTCTCAAATATTTGGCAGCTTTTTTCTTAACATATTTGTTGCAATCCTGTTTACTGTTCACAACAAAACATTTCATGGTTTTATGATAACCCAATAACTTTGGTATCCCAAGAATGCTGCATCCTTGTTTAGTCACCAAAGACCAAGACATGGGCTGCTCGCAAACAAGCCAAACAGAGTACAGTGTTACACTAAAAACAAACTTACCTCCGACCACTCCAATGAAGAAATATAGCTGCTCCACTGTGTTGCAGAAAGAAGCTGCAACCAACCCGGATCCAGCTAGACAGCCACCGAGAATCATAATAGGCCGACTACCAAATTTGTTTACCAAAATGCTGCTGATTGGACCTAAGCAAAAGAGGATATAACAAAAACACTCTTGTCATACAACTTGTGTTAAGTGAAAACTACAGCACATGGTAAAAGTCTAAATGAAAAGTATTAAATCCATTGAAGCATTGACATTCATGCAATTTCCATTATGACACTGATACCCAACTCAACAAGTTTGAAATGACCTAGACTGTTTTTTTGTGTGTAAAAGAAAGTGGCTTGAAATGTTTTAAGTTCTTTAATGGTCAGTAACCAATATAATATCAGTTCACCCTCTGGTTAAAGTTCCCTCAGGTGGCACAAAAGATTAGATTTGTTTTTGTATTTGCTTGAGGTATACTTTGGGAATATCTTTATGCAACATTAAATCAACTTGAGTTGGGGAACAGTGAAAATGGTTTATCTCTCTGCATCCTAAGCAACATGGTACTAATTAGATTAAGTTACATAAGAGGGAAATTCTTTTGGTCACAGCAACAGGATCATAGTTGACCCAGAAGAAAGATCACATATCAAATTAAATTAACTATAAAAAAATAAAAACTTAAGAAACATGAAATAATAAAATATATTTAGGATATAATGCCACATTTGAAAAAAGCAAAATATTTGTAACATTATTAGATAGAAAAAACAATACTATTGAAATAAATGATGTGCTTATTTGAAAACAGTTTTTTTTTTCCGTATAACTAATAAATTATTGGTGAAAAACAAATGTTTCACTTTTAAAATAGTGATACAAGTTACATATAGAAAAAAGTATAATTAACAATAGAAAAATAAATATACTATGGTTAATTCCCAGATGGAACAATGGCAAAGAATATTTATTTAGCAGATTAGGCTTTTCATGGCTAATGACAACATCAGCATGAAAAGCAAATTTAAATGCAAAACCATTAAATTATCTGACAGGACCACAAAGAGCAAAATATGAAGACATCCTGTTATCTGTGTGAAAGTGAATATGTGAAATTGTCATGTTGAGCTGATTGGAAATTGGAAATTTGATAAGATTCTTTTACGTTTTGTGTAATTGTATAGGGGTTGCTAAACCCACAAAATGTTTTCATAGTTTGTTTGCCCTTAACACAACCCTCACTAAGGCCAAATAATGATCAAGAAAGAGGTAAGGAAATATTATCTACAAAAAGATACATTCTGTGAAAAGAACAGAAGCATTTCTCAATATGATGGACTTGAGCTTTCTGCTGTCTTACCTCCTCCGTACATGACTGCCAACATTATAGAAGAAATCCAAGACACCTGACTAGGTGTGACATCAAAGATCACCTCAATGTCTTTGAAGAACACGGTGATAGATTTCGGAAAGGCATAGGAAAAACCAATGGAGATGAAAGCACCTGCCACCACTGCCCAGCCCCAGCCACCTTCAGGTGGGGTGTACCCCACAGGCCCACCCACTGCGGCAGGCATGTCCACTGAAGACAGTCAAAAACGATAATTGAAAAGATGTAGATCCAGTAATAAAAAAAAAATTGCTGCCTGAAAAAGACTGAAACTCAGGGGATGTAATCAGAACAGACTGAGGCTTGAACAAGCACCTGTTTAGAAAAAGAAGCACAGGGTTAATTTTATTTACACACACACATACACAAGCATACAGAGGTGATGGAGGAGTATAGCACAAGTTTACGACTGCCACTAGTTATCAAACCAATTGCGTTTTGCCTTTTGGGATAAGCACAGTAAATAAATAATCTGAGACCTATTCAAATCTAAAGTTGGACTAACCAAATTGAGAGCACTAACAATTCAAGTTAACCCCCCCCATGTGCAGGATTCATCAGTTAAATACTGATAAAGAAGATTATTAGACAGAGTTCAAAGATGGAATAAAAATTCTTCGCTTATAATAAGTTACACTAAATTAACTCTGCCTGTACCCAACAAATTTTTGTTACAAGTAAATAGTTTCACTGTGACATTCAGAAAGGTCAACAGGTGGTAAGCTCAAAAGTATTGAGGTAGACAAGTCATGTGCATGGAGGGTAAAAATTGGCACAGTACCCACTCAGTTTTTCCACCCAAGTTTGACAATGTCACCAGGTTACACACATTATAAATAAGCTACCTTGGCTATTTTGGAGCAATGTGGAACACATGGGAACACCTTGTGCATGTAGCAGTCATGCAATCTTTCCACTAACTGAGATGCATTACTCATCTAGCTCTGTGCAGAATAGATAACGCCTTTTGCCAGAGCTGAAATCAGAGCTCAAGATATGTATGTCTAAAACCTTAAGGTCATGGCTCTTCAAGTAACTAGTGTGACTTGAATGCTGGAGAGCCTTAACATTTATTCCAGGATATGATTTTTATTAAACAATGCCCCCACATACACACAGATAAAGACTGAAACATACCCTTGAAAGTCACAAATGAAATGTGTATTGTCCTTGAGCAGTATCACAATTTAGTGGGCTGTGATTTGTCAAGTGGTGGATTGACAACCTATGCAATATGTTTCTTTAAATGGAACGTATTTAGTGGGTCTACTTGCTACAAGTGTCGGTGCAAAATTAGCAGCACTCATTTTGAGGCCTTTTTTGACGAAACTCCGTCCATTCAATGCACTATTGTATGCCCGGCCATGTAAGCATTTGCTCAATGGCGTGGTCAAATAGTTTCACACTGGCGATATCAGATGGTATGAAGTCAAAAACGCAAAACTTGGATGTAAAAACGGAACCAACTCTATCAACGCTACAATCTTTGCTGGGTTAGCAGTTAATACAAACTGGGGAGGAAAAGAATAAACCAGTTCATTAATCAGCAACTTCTTTGTTGCGAAACACCACACTGTCACCGTTAGTCTACATCCACACACAATCACTTTGCAAATGTTTTTGATTAGTTACCTTGGGGATCACTCCGTTTCGTAATGTCGTACCGCATCCAACGTTGTCCTAGTTTCTGAGGACAGTGTAGCGTTGGTTACAACCGCTTCGCATGCCAGACACCCCCAAATTAAACGCATTTGTATGACTGTGTCCGTGTTACATACTTCAGCGCATGCGTAAAAGAAACGTTTGTACGTGGTGGGGCGGGGGTAATGTGACACATCACACGTGCCATGAAGGCGGGCCACAAGTGGACAGCTTCAAGCGCACGTACCCCATGGCAAGTTATTTCAACTGTTTATATATATATGAGTATAAAGAAGTTATCAGTTGAATTTCTTTTTTTTTTAAACAAAAGAAAAAGAGAGGCAGTGGTTTTGTATTTAATTTCCTTTCAATATTAAAGGCTAACTATGTGTTCCAGTACAAAATGTGTTTTTTTTTAAAGAAGTCCATGTTGGTTTTATGTATTGGTTAGATAAGACCCCATAAAGTTGATATGTGTGTGTGGGGGGGGGAGGGGGGCACAAATCCTAACATACTTTTGCAAAACCTTGTGAGTGTTTCTCAAGAGCCTGCAAAAATGTCTCAACATCTTGCAACGTTTCTGATGTAAATGTAATGCGTTCTTGCCACAGAGATATGACATAATGAAAGTAGGCCTTTTCAATAGAAGCATCGTGTGGCATTTTCCTCATGTGAAAATAGGTACTGAATTTAAACCAAAAAAATGGAGATATACCAAAACAAGACTGCTTTGTGAAGTGGTGTGGGGAGAGCCATTTGCAGCTAAAAGTGGCAAAGGATATGGTAGTGGACTTCAGGAGGAACAAGCCCCTGTCCTCTCCTGTCAGCATCAGTGTGGAGATGGATGGTCCCTTCATATAAGTACCTGAGTGTCACACAGGACAATAAACTGGACTGTTCCACTAACAGAGAGGCCGTGTAAAGACTTGACTTTCTGCGGAGGCTCAGGTCCTTTAATGTCCGCAACAAGGTGCTGCAGATGTTCTATCAGTCTGTTGTTGCAAGCACCATCTTCTATGCTGCTGTGTCTTGGGGTGCGGGCATCAAAGCGAAGGATGCCAACAGACAGAACAAACTCATTTTAAAAAAGCAGAGTCTGTTTTTGGCTCTAAGCTTGTCACCCTGGAGGAGAGGATGCTGGCAAAACTGCTGTCAATCATGGACAATCCCTCCCACCCCCTTCACAAAACACAGGACAGGTTGCCCAGAGGAACAATACAGGAAATCGTTCCTACCTACTGCAATAAGACTTTACAAGTCATCTGCCTCTGTCACAGTCACAGAACTGCACGAAATGTACCCGTTCACTCTACCCATTCAGAATCAGAATTAGGTTTATTGCCAAGTAGGTTTTTCACCTACAAGGAATTTGCTTTAGTGTTTGGTGCACAACACTACTATGAGAAACAAGAAAGGACATACAATGTAGAAATAAAAATATAAAAATATAGAATAAAAAAATAAAAAATAATAATAATAATAATAATAAATAATAAAATTAAATACTGAATGTCCAACGACAGACCAGAAAATGTTGAACGTAGCATTGGGTAAATTAGTGGGGTAGAGGGGGGTGAGAGAAGAATAGGTGGGGGTCACTAGTTGCTGCTGGATAAAAACTGTCTTTATGGCGTGAGGTTTTGGTCCTGATGGTCCTCAACCTTCTGCCAGAGGGGAGGGTTTCCAAAAGTTTGTGACCAGGGTGAGAAGGATCAGACATGATCTTTCTTGCACGCCTTAAAGTCCTGGAGGCGTACAGGTCCTGAAGGGATGGCAGATCGCAGCCAATCACCTTCTCGGCTGAGCGAATGATACGCTGCAGTCTGCCCTTGTCCTTAGCGGTGGCAGCAGCGAACCAGATGGAGATGGAGGAGGTGAGGATGGACTCAATGATGGCAGTGTAGAAGTGCACCATCATTGCCTTAGGCAGGTTGAACTTCTTCAGCTGCCGCAGCAAGAACATCCTCTGCTGTGCTTTCTTTGTGAGGGAGCTGATGTTCAGCTCCCACTTGAGGTCCTGGGTTATAGTGATCCCCAGGAAACGGAAGGACTCCACAGAAGCAATTGTGGAGCCACCCAGAGTGATGGGAGCAGGTGGTGCTGTGTTCTACCTGAAGTCTACAACCATCTCCACTGTCTTGAGCGCGTTGAGCTCCAGGTTGTTGACTGCACACCAGGACACCAGACACCAGTCGATCTCCCACCTGTAGGCAGACTCATCCCCATGTGAGATGAGTCCGATGAGGGTCGTATCATAGGCGGACTTCAGGAGCTTGACAAACTGGTGGCTGGAGGTGCAGCTGTTGGTGTACAGGGAGAAGAGTAGGGGGGAGAGAACACAGCCCTGGGGGGATCCAGTGCTGATGGTCCGGCTGTTGGAGGTGTGGCTTCCCAGCCTCACATGCTGCCTCCTGTCAGATAGGAAGTCAGTGATCCATCTGCAGGTGGGATCAGGCACACCCAGCTGGGAGAGTTTGTCCTGGAGTAGAGGGGGGATGATGGTGTTGAAGGCAGAGCTAAAATCTACAAACAGGATCCTGGCATAGGTGGCTGGGGAGTCCAGGTGCTGGAGGATGAAGTGGAGAGCCAAGTTGACAGCGTCATCTACAGACCTGTTGGCTCTGTAGGCAAACTGCAGTGGGTCCAGGTGTGGGTCTGAGATGGCTTTCAAGTGGGCAAGGACAAGGCGCTCAAATACCTTCATCACCACGGAGGTCAGGGCAACAGGTCTGTAGTCATTGAGGCCTGAAATCTTTGTTTTTTTGGGGACGGGGATGATGGCGGAGGTTTTGAGGCAGGCATGTCTCCAGCGAGGTGTTTAAGATGTCAGTGAACACAGGAGACAGCTGATCTGCGCAGTGCTTCAGGATGCTAGGAGAGATAGAGTCAGGTCCAGCTGCTTTGCGTGGTTTTTGTTTCCTGAATAGGCTGGATACGTCCTTCTCCTGGATGGAGAGAGTCATGGTAGTTGAGGGAGGGGGGTCCTTTGATGTGGGCAGTTGTATGGGGGGGCAGGCTCCTGCTGAGGTGGGGGTGGGGATGCAGGTGGGCAGGGGCTGGTGGTAGTGGGGGATGGTGTTGGTGTTAGGACTGTCCCATTGTCTTTCAAATCTGCAGTAGAAGTCGTTCAGCTCGTTTGCCAGACGCAGGTCGTTGACAGAGTGGGGGGGTTTAGGTTTGTAGTTTGTGATCTGTCTGAGCCCCTTCCAGACAGATGCAGAGTCGTTGGCTGAGAGCTGTTTGAGATTCTCAGCGTACAGTCGTTTAGCGTCCCTCACCGCCTTACTAAACCTGTACTTTGACTCCTTATACCTGTCCCTGTCCCCGCTCCTAAATGCCTCCTCCTTCTGCAGCCTCAGCTGTCTGAGTTTAGGACTGAACCAGGGTTTGTCGTTGTTGTAGCTCACCCTGGTGCGTGATGGTATGCAGCAGTCCTCACAGAAACTGATACATGAAGTCACAGTCTCTGTGAACTCATCCAGACTGGTGGTGGAAGTCCTGAAAACATCCCAGTCAGTAGTCTCCAAACAAGCCTGAAGATCCTCCACAGCCTCACTGCTCCACTGCTTTGATGTTCTCACAGCCGGTTTACAGAGTTTGAGTTTCTGTCTGTATGCAGGAATCAGATGGACCATGACGTGGTCAGAGTGGCCCAGTGCAGCGCGGGGGACGGCGTGATAAGCGTTGCTGATGGTGGTGTAACAGTGATCCAAAATATTGTCCTCTCTGGTCGGACATTTTATAAGTTGTCTGTATTTTGGGAGTTCGTGGGTGAGGTTACATTTGTTAAAGTCGCCGAGGACAATAACTAAAGAGTCCGGGTATGTCCGCTCCACACGCAGTATCTGGTCATATAATATGTGTGAAAGTTAACCGTATTGATATTATATATCATATGCATTTATTTATACAATTGATAATATATTAGTATTATCATTATTATAGATTACATCCTATATTGTATATCATTATATTATATACTACAAATGCTGTACTATTATTATTACCATATACTGTTTGGTTACACCTGCGATGGACTAGCAGACCGTCCACCGTGTACCCTGCCTCTCACCTACTAACAACTGGGATAGGCTCCTGTCCCCCCCGCGACCCCATTAGGGAATAAGTGGTTACGATAATGGATGGATGGATGCATTTTTTATTACAATAACATCACCATCATATCATCAGTACTTCCACCATCATCATACCAAGTGTCTTTACTTAAGTGTCCTTGTCCTATTCTGTGTTTTTATCTTATTATTGTATTACCGGACTGCTATGACAACCTAATTTATTTTCTGGGATAAGTATATCTATCTCTCTTTACTTTTTTGTGAATTTTGGAGCAGAAGCATAGAAATCAAAAAAGAAGTTCCCCATTTACGATATGGCATTAAGAAACAGTAAGGCTATTGTGGAGGGGGCGTGGCGCTCAGCTGCAGGGGGGAGGGGTGGAGGAGGCTCAGGTGAGCAGTGCCAGGGGAGAGTGATTGAGCACACCTGGAACCGGTTGGCTAATCACTCTCCCCTCTGTAAAAAGAGTAGCGTGCTGGACCTGGGGGGACTGGTTTAGGAGGAGAGCTGGAGCTGGAGACAAGCCACCAGCCAGGAATACAACGGGCCATACGCTGGAACCACAAAGAGCCCAAGCCGGGCGGGATTGTGAGTGTGTGTGCGTCTGTAATAGAGTGTGTGTGCGAGTGCTGCACACACGCTCAAATAAAACCTGTTGAGCAACAACTTTGGTCTCGAGGGAACTCTGTCGGGGCACCCACAGTGGCGCGACTGCCATAGCTATGAATATATAAGTCTGATCATCATAAAAAGAAATAAGACGGTACATTACAATTTCTTCTATTAAAAAAAAACAAAATCTGTACATCCTTATTTTTTTTAACTAAATCATGTATGAAACGGTTTGCAAAGGGAAGGATCCAATATGCAGGAAAGAGGAAGGAGACAGGAAATAGGAACTCAAAGAAAAAATAATGTATTTATGGGACAACAAAAAATGCAGCTGGATACTTACTAAAACTAATGTTACATCCCCAGGCTTGGTCTAGGAGATTTAAGGGACCAACATAAATGTAGACAGTGAATGCAGGGGTCAAAAGGCATTTAGAGAGGTTGATTCTGGTTTCAGGGAAAGCCCAGGCCAACTGAACAAATAAATCCATCCAATCCTAGAGGCAGAGCAAGAGATGATTTGGGGTCCAGGAAACAAAATTACATCCATCTTGGGGATGTTACACCCCCATCCATAAGAACATTAAATATTGTTAACATTGTACTCAATTACACTCTTGAGAAGGCATCTGCTACAACATTGTCACATCCTTTTTTGTGCTTCAGTATTATAAATTTGAGAAATTAGAGCCCACCCCATTAGTCGTTGATTGCTGTTGTACATACGTGCGAGGAACACAAGAGGGTTGTGGTCAGTTAAGACCCCCGCGGGCTTTTAAGTGGATCCTACGTACAAATCAAAGTGCTGCAGAGCCAGAAGCATGGCCAGAGTCTCCTTTTAAATGGTTGAGTACCATCTTTGATTAGTATTAAACTTTTCACAGCAGAAGCAAACAGTCACCGCTTGGCCTTCATCTTGACGGAGAACAGCTCAAGCACCAACCTCACTGGCATCAATTTCAAGCTTGAGGGCTGGGAAAAATTTGGGGCAGACAGAACTGGAGCACTGGACAGAAGACCTTTAGCACCTTCAAATGCATGCTGATATTCATAAATCCGAATAAATGGTAGTTTCTCGACTGCACAGGTTAGTCAGCAGGATTACCACTTCAGAGAAGTTTTTACAAAAACAACGATAGTAATCAACCATCCCTTGGAATGTTCGTAGTTCACAGCGAGTTGTGGGCACTGGAAATATAAGGATGGCATCTACCTTTGCACTGATGGGACGAACCTGGCTTTGTCCAACTTCCTTTCCAAGGTAAGTTACCGTGGCCTTGCCAAACTCACAGATTTAGCCATGTTGAGAGTCAAGGAAGCATCAGCGAGATGCTTAAACACAGTGGCGAGCCTGGCATCATGCTCAGTCCAGATGCAATAAAAGACAACCACATCATCAAAATAAACTTTACAGTTTTTCACATCTGATAATACAGTCGCCATCAACCTCTGGAAAGTTGCAGGAGCATTTCTCATTCCAAATGCCATCACTTTATATTGTAGAAAATGATCAGGTGTAACAAAGGCTGAGATTTAAACAGTACGTGCCAGTAACCTTTAAGAAGGTCCAGTTTACTCACATAAGCTGCAGATCTAACACTGTCAACACAGTCTTCAATACGGGGCAGTGGGAAGGAATCAGGCATAGTAACTGTGTAACGGGTACCGTAGCGACAGCACCGCTGTTGACAGATATACTCC